CTCAGGTTATGGAACCCACCAGGAGTTGAAAACAAGTGCACACACACACACACACACACACACACACACACACACACACACACACACACACACACACACACACACACACACACAGGGGTGAACAGGGAGCCTCACTTAAAGCCAGTGCTGCTTCTTATCCAGCTCAGTCTTTCAAAGATTCACATGTGTTTTTGAAACCATTTGTCTTCATCCATTCATAGAATAATCTCAGGATCGTTCTCTTTCAGAAGAAGTGACGACTAATTATTTATTGTAAATTACGTTTGTTGATGCTTCTGGTCAAAAGAAAAACTTGGCCCCGACTTCGAGAACTCAAGGACATCTAACTGACTACTCTTTATTTATGTAGCGCTTTTCAAAGACCAAGGTCAACACGTTTTACAACCCACACTGGCACACACACACACACACACACACGCACACTGGCACAGACACACACACGCACACACACTGGCACACGCACACAGACACACACACTGGCACACACACACACACACACACACTGGCGCACACAGACACACTGGCACAGACACACACAGACACACACACAGACACACACAAAGACAGACACACACAGACACACACACTGGCACACACACTGGCACACACACAGGCACACACACTGGCACACACACTGGCACACACACAGACACACACACACACAGAGACACACACAGACACAGACACACACACTGGCACACACACACACAGACACACACACAGACACACACACACAGAGAAAGACACAGACACACACAGACACACACACTGGCACAGACACACACAGACACACACAGACACACACGCACACAGACACACACACACACAGACACACACACTGGCACACACACACAGACACACACACTGGCACACACACACAGACACAGACACAGACACACACACACATACACACACAGACACACACACACAGACACACACACACACAGACACACACGCACACAGACAGACACACACAGACACACACACTGGCACATCAGAGCCCCTCACATCACCATCCTTTCACTCTCTCAACACATTCACACCTATCGTACATGTGTTTAGTGGTAGCGGACACCGGAGCGCCCGGAGGAAACCTATAAAGACACAGGGAGAACATGCAAACTCCCCTCTGTAAGTAATAACTTACCAGAGAGAGTCCCCGATGTTTACGACAACCTCAGTGTGGTCATTGCTCTCCATCTCTGCAGCTACACACGTAAAGATAGATACTTTGATAGATACTTTGATAGATACTTTGATAGATAATTTGATGGATAGATACTTTGATAGATACTTTGATAGATAGATACTTTGATAGATACTTTGATAGATAGATACTTTGATATATACTTTGATAGATACTTTGATGGATAGATACTTTGATAGATAGATACGTTGATAGATAGATACTTTTATTGATAGATACTTCGATAGATACTTTGATAGATAGATACTTTATTGATCCTTTTTGGAGAAATTCAGGAGTCCAGTCGCTGGTGATGAGCTGCTTCCTCTGGTTTGGTGTTTGCTCGGTTCGGACCATTTTCTCTGCTCTGGTTCAGAGTGAAATTCTGAATGCATTATTTGCATTTTTCAACCAAAAATTGGAAATCCGCTTGATCTGTTTGGTTTGGACCTTCCTCGCTGCTCTGGTCTGTAACCAACAGTTACAGAAAGACAAAAAGCAAGAAATGTATCGATTGCAAAACACAAAACGACAACAGTTTCAGAGCGACTTCTACAGAGACATCAGAATCAGAATCAGAATCATTTTTATTGCCACGTGAGTAACAAAGTTATCACTTGGAAATTGTCTTGGCAGAGAGCGTGCCACTTCGCCATTTGCGGCGCTGTGTGCAGCAAGAAACAGCAGAGAGCAATAACATACAGTTCACATACAATTGGATAGACACATTGTGCTTTTTATAAACCACGGATTTTTTTCTCGGGATGAGCGCCTCCGGCGGCCGGCCCAATGTAGCTGTCAGAGGGGGGCGGGATCAGGGAGGGGGTGAGTAGGAAAACAATAAGGAATGGAGGGGAGGGAGGGAGCAAGATGGATAGGTAGAGGGAGGCGGGGGTGAGGGATCCTTGCTGGAGACTGAAATAGTGTGAGCTGTTGTAGATTGTGGGACCTTGTTTATGGCCTTGGTCAAGGAATGTGAGATAAGAGTGGGGAGAAGACACGACGACATGACGACGACAGAGGATCCGTGTTCTGAGTGAAATATGAAGCCGCTGGATGAAGTCATCTCTCTTATCGCCTCCAAACACACAGACCCCAGGACACTGCCCCCTACTGTCCTCTTCAGGGGCCGCACACACACACACACACACACACACCATGATGTCGTCTAGTTCCAACAGTCACCGCAGATCAAATGGAATTAATCTTATCATTAAAAGGCTTTGATGTTTCATTCATTCTCTCAAATCGAGGAACGAGGCTGGACTCTACACGGAACACGTCAAATCTCTAATATCTTTAAAGAGACTATACGCAGCTGTCGTCTCGGAGGTCTTTACAGAGAGAGTTAAACCTCCAGAACACAGGAAATGCAATAATAGCATCAAATTTTTGCGGTAATCCAAGAAACGGTACAATCTCTGTGTGTTACGTACAGCGGCTTTTTGTTACCTGCTTTCATCAAATATGTGGTGATTGACCCAAAACGCCCGGCCTCATTCTGCTAAAATAAATGTTATGGACGTCATGCCTATTATATTTTCATTTAAAGTAGTAATATGTAAGATGCTCATGTTAAGTCAGCATTAAAGGGCCCTAATCTGACAAAAGGCATTAATAAAACATGCTCTTTTCCAATACTTATTTAACTGATAACAGTAGGATTTCAAAAATAGTTTTACAGCCCCTAAATGTTTGTTTTTGTTATCATTTCGATGTCCCGCCCTCCACTGCCCTCCACCGTTTCACCAATCAGAAAGTCTGTGATCCGGGCGCCAGAACTCACCGCGTGGAGCTAATCTCACTGGTAAAGTACCATGTGGAGCTAATCTCACTGGTAAAGTACCATGTGGAGCTAATCTCACTGGTAAAGTACCATGTGGCCGTAGAACCAGGATTTCTATCTTTGTGAAAAAGGTGTTGGTTATAGATTTGTTGTTGACAAAACTCTTGTCTATTCAGCTGTTATGGTCCCAGCTGGATTCGTCTGCATATCTGGCAACCTGAGTCAGGGAGAGGGGGAGAGGCTGCAGTACCACTTTTGACCTGCATGGTGACATCATACCTGCAGATCAGTGTGGGCGGGTCCCGGCTCAAAAGTGGCCAAAACGACGTGCGCTGACATGTTGCAGTACCACCCCGGGCCTGTGGGGGTGGACCTGGAATAAGAATTAGCCAATGCTAACATATAGCATCTTCTTACCTCTCGAAAACGTCTTTACAGGATGGTCCAAAAGTTGGCTCTTGGCCCAAAGCTCCGTTCCACATGTGTGTCAATGCTGAGTGTTCTGGACCAGTCTAGTTTAGTCGCTGTGGATTTTTGAAGTCGCTCGTTTAAATGAATGGAGCTCGTGCAGCTGACGCATGCACAGATGTGTTTTTTTCACATTTTCCAGCCCCCGCGGCCATTTTGTATCACTCCATGAAAGCCCAATTTTTGGCCAATTAGTTGGAACGGCGGAGATAGGCGTGACTACGTCCGTTAATATATATAGTCTATGCTGCAGATACATATCGTTTTTGATTTGATTTAACATTTGACTCACTGTCCTTCATAAGTAAAATAAATAAATGGGGAGGCAACTTTTCAGATTCATGCTGCTAAAATCTGGAACAGTCTTCCTGAAGATGTGAGACAGGCCTCCTCTCTGACAATGTTTAAAACCAGGTTAAAGACAGTTCTGTTTAGCTGTGCATACAACTGAGGGATTTTATATTTGTATCTTTCTTTTTAATGTTCTGTGATTATTTATGATTTTAATGCTTTCTTGTTCAGCACTTTGAATTGCCTTGTGTATGAATTGTGCTATACAAATAAACTTGCCTTGCCTAGATTTAGAGTCAGTCCTGGATCTACAGTCGAGGTTTCTTACTTTCCCCTCTTTGTCTCTGAGTGGTTCCGCTCTGATGCAGGAGGGTCTAAGGACAGAGACGATCCAGGACATATATTCACGTTTATAGACAGTGCTTATGTGTTTATTAATATTGCATTTCTCGTGTTTGAACTGATTCTCTACTGATTGAAGCCAGAAATGACTTTGCAAACTTCAGCTGCGTCTCTGCCGTCTTTGGCCTCGCACAGACAGTTTTGGAAATGGCGGCTCTTTTCTCTGCGTTCTGCTTTTGTCGCCGGTGGCTGGTTTCTCGCTCTGCAGAGAAAGTGCTGAGGCGGCAGAGCGACATATGGTACGTCTGCTTCTGGTAATCTGCTGCGGAGGCTCCATACTCCGTCAGACGCCCACAGCAGAAGAATGTACAGCAGCTCTGAGGAATCCGGCTTCTCTCTGTTCACATAAACCTTCTGTGGGTTGGGTTATCGTCCATAGATACTTTTGACGAGTTAGGATTGTTTTATCTCCACACGTAAAAGGCAGATGAATACTTTGTGTTTTGTTATTTATTGTTTCCACTGATAATGAGGAGGCAACAGAAAGAAATGATTTAATTTAACTGCATAAAGAACAGTGGGACAAGTTACCATTGTGGATCCTGGGTCTACAGCCTCAGTCCTGGGTCTACAGCCTCAGTCCTGCTCAGTCCTGGGTCTACAGCCTCAGTCCTGGGTCTACAGTCTCAGTCCTGGATCTACAGTCTCAGTCCTGGATCTACAGCCTCAGACCTGGGTCTACAGCCTTAGTCCTGGGTCTACAGCCTCACTCTCTGATGCAGGAGGGTCTATGGACCAACGGCTCCTATCTGTTTGTTATTATTGCATTTCCTGTTTGATTCTCTGATCTGCTGTTGGTGAATCTGGAATGTTGTAGCCTCTAATGCCTCCGTCTTCTCTTTGCAGGGCGTACAAAACCATCGACGACAACGACTTGAAGTTTCCGCTGATCTACGGAGAAGGGAAGAAGGTGAGACTCAGATCCAGCCTCTTAAAAACATAAAATCTCGAAGTGGAACTGCTTCGTGTTTGGGTTGTAACACTGAGGTCTCGCCTTTAATAACAAGAGGAGGATGTGGTTTTAACGGGAAAATAATCAACACTTTGGGTTTCAAAGGTTTGGGAGTGTGTGAGACGCAGACAGGGAAAGACCGAGGCTCAAGAAAGTATTTGCACATCACTTAAAAACTGCTGCAAAAAATAATAAAATAAGAGCTAGTAATGAATAATAATTGCTTGAAAAGAGTTGTTTTTAATCTTAATCTGAGTTCATTAATTACACGATTTGCCACTGGGACAAAGTCATTTATTCTTATTTGAAAAAAACTCTTCAAGATTTTTTTCCAATGGAGACGTTTCTTGTACCTTTTTAAGCCAAGATCATTCTGCTCACTGTCCCATTGTTCAATCTTGTTTAGAGACAATCAAAATATTCCAAAATGTAGATACTATTTGCCAAATTTGAGAATTTTTTTGCTTTTTTGTATTTGGAATTTTGCATCACTTTTTGTAGTGTGTGTTGAAATGTCCTGAGAAATTCTTAAAAGATTCCATCCAATCCATCTTTTTTTCTTCTCCTTTATCCGTTGCCGGGTTGCAGGGACAGCAGTCTAAAAGCAAAGACACACACACTTCCACTGATGTC